CTAAGCATAGATTAGCAGAGACAGAAACGCTGAGCTGTCAAATACTTCAAAACCAATAGCAGCAAACAAAATATCCAAGTGCTGCTGGAAACGTATAAGACTATTACAGACCTAGGAATTTTCAACACCCAAAGCAACCTAAGTCTTAAAGGTAACTTTCAGAATATGAAAAACCAGAGTCATGCTATCAAGTGATTGATATTGAGATATTTCTTCCTTATTTATAGTTCTTTAACACTTGCTTTTAAATATAGCATTGTTTTAAACACATTATCCCTTGCTATAAATACAAGAAAAATGACAGATGAATACTTAGAACCTCTCACATTTCTCACATGTGAGGAGAATTTTTTTCTTATTCGTATGGCCTGGAGTAATGAGTGAGGAAGAGGAAAGTAATACCTGTCAGCTGAAATCCACCGGATTGATTTTCACTGCTCAGAGCTGGGAATTATCTGTAACAAAGGAAGGGTAGCAACACAAAGATGAGAGAGAGGGAAGAGACTGGGCTGGGTCGAAGGAAGAGATTTGGAAACAATTTAGAAACTGAGGAATGGGATTAGTACAAAGCTGCCATTTTATGATGATTGGGTTTTTATTTGTATGAATGGAAGTCTTCTTTGGGAGAGGATTCAGTAAAGGTTCTCTCTCTCTCTCTCTCTCTCTCTCTCTCTGCCAGTAAAAGATAGTTTCCTAAAAGTTAAAAAAAAATTGCTGAAATGCGCCAAAGAGTGACCAGTTTGATAGACTGTTCTAATTGTTTATAAGTATTTTAATTTTCTAGAAAAATATACTTAATCAGACATCAGTGTGCTATCCCACGCCAGCAGGAAAATACCAAGCAGTGATAGACCAACCTGGTCATCAACTTAATGAAAGATCTCAAAATAACAAGCAGGAGTCAGGACGTGTTTTTCAGTGAGGAATGCTCCCACTAACAAGTAACAGAAAGTTTAACAATAGAGGGATACTTTTCTTATATAACAAGACATCTGAAAATAGATCTCTGTTGGCATTTGTTCAGCAGCTCATTGTGGTCAGGCCTAGCATCTCTGTTACTTTCTTTGTCTTTATTTTATGATTGAAAAGTGTTGCTGCTTCATAGTGTCAGGTCCTTGAAATGCAAGAAAACAAGGCATCCTCTTAGGTCCTCCTTAAGGTCCTCTTAGCTCATAGCAAGGAAGAGGATGACGTGGGAAGCATGGTAGCCCTGAGAAGGTAGCCTGAGAAACAGGCCTGGAGAAGACAGGAGAAAGCTCTTGTGTAGTTCAAAGTTACCTATATAAGTTTGGTTTATACAGGTGTTCCATAGAGGTTATATTTTTGACTTTTTATGATTTCCATGTGAGTATTCTCAATACTCAAATATTGCTAATTAACTTGGGAATAAGAATATATCTGGGCTCTAAAGCATAACTTATTCCTTCTATCCACTCTCTTCTTTAAATTTATTTCACAAAACAGTATTGATAAAAGCAATTTGGCACATATTTGTACCATTAAAACTCAGGCTCTTTAATTCTCAAAAGAGACTGCCCCTTGGGTAGAAAGAGAGGTGAGAGTTATATCATCAAGTACTTTATTGGCAACATATGTCGCAGCCAGTATATTTTATAATCCCAAGATCTTTAACAACATCAAAAATAGATGTTCTATATGCACAGATTGAGTTTCATTTGGGTCATGACTGAAACCTGTTATATATCAACCTGGATGATAGAGATGTAAAAACTTGAGAGGTTTCCAACAAAACAGAGTAAAGTCAGCATAACCTATGCTGTCTACTAACTAAATGCACCTTTAGGCATGTTTAAAATAATGCAATACATTATAGCTACTAGCATCCTTCATTTTGTGCAGTATTGCTTTTTTTTCTATGCACTGTTCTGGCAGAGTTTCTCCAATCTGCACTTGTTCAATAATGAACATCGTTCATCTGGGAGATTAATTCTGGGCCATAGTGAGGAAGTAGTAATTAAAACAGTATTTTTATCTTCCTTACTCTGTGGGACTTCTTACCACATCTTTCAGTTAATGTTGATTTGAGGTTAGACCTTGATCTCTTTGAAATACATTCCCATGAATGTGTTTCACCCAAGTTTACCTATCCCTTTTGAAGTTGAAGAGCTGGGAGTGCCCTGGATGAATAGATTTGGCATCAACAGAAAACTTAGGTTTTTCAGCTGGCTCATTAGACACAAAGAAAAGAATACAACTATGGACAAAGGTATTTTATTATACAACATGCAAATATTTTTATTAACTGGTAGAACAAGTTTGATAAAAGACAATCCATACCAAGATAAATAACATACAAATAGTCTATTCCACCAGCTAATTACAGAACATTGAAGAATGTGTTTCAGGCAAGGCATGGTGGATCATATTTGTGATCCCAAAATTTTGGGAGGCCAAGGCAAGAAGATTGCTTGAGGTCAGGAGTTCAAGACCAGCCTGGGGAATATAGAGAGACCCCTGCCACTACTAAAAATACCAAAAAAAAAAAAAAAAAATTAGCTGGGCATGGTGGCTCTCCATTGTCCCAGCTACTCAGGAGGCTAAGGCAGGAAGATCCCTTGAACCCAGGAACATGAGGTTCTAGTGAACTGTGACTGCACCATTGTGCTTCAGCCTGGGCAACAGAGTAAAACCTTGTCTCTAAAAAATTTAAAAAAAAAAAATGTGTTTCTATTTGCTTAACAGTGAGTATTCAAAAAATAGTTTTTGTGCTGTATTGATAAAACCTGGAAGTGGTGGGAATTGATGTCATGTAAAATTGTTAAGAATAAGAATAACCGGGCGCAGCGGCTCACACCTGTAATACCAGCACTTTGGGAGGTCGAGGTGGGCGGATCATGAGGTCAGGAGTTCGAGACCAGCCTGGCCAACATGATGAAACCCCGTCTCTACTAAAAATACAAAAATTAACTGGGCTTGGTGGCGCATGGCTGTAATTCCAGCTACTCAGGAGGCTGAGGCAGCTACTCAGTTCAGGCTGAGAATCACTTGAACCCAGGAGGCAGAGGTTGCAGTGAACTGAGACTGTGGCACTGCACTCCAGCCTGGGCAACAAGAGCAAAACTCCGTCTCAAAAAAAAAAAAAAAAAAGAATAAGAATAAATCTGATACAAAGAGGTATCTTTATATCTGTTATATTGAGCCAACAAAATAAACATTTTTCCATGATGAGGAGGATAATAATAATTGTAGCTACCTTTTATTGGGTGGCTTAATAAATATCTGGTGACATATTAATTTTACATCAGCCCATTAAGTCACAAACCCCCTAAGCAGTAGGTATTACTTTCAACAATTTACAAATGAAGAAAAAGTGTCCTGAGAAGGGTAATCATTTGATTAAAATCAAACTGATTGAATGTTGTAGCACTAGGAAAGGAGATCAGGTTTTTAATACTTCAAAGCCTTTGTATTTAACCATTATTTTTTTTTCTTCCCAAACTTTTGAATATATCCTAAGAGAATAGTGAAAAAGCATGAAAAATTAAGTATATGTATCTGCTTATTCAAGCATTATATATAATAGAAAAAACTTTGAAGTAATTAAAATGTATTAAGAATGTATTAATAAGTAAAAAGGCTTATGAGAGGATGGCAAATGGAAAAAAGCTCAATTTACAAAAGATGTCTGATCCAGAGCATAAGAAACAATATAAGCAATAGGCAGTATTTGAAGAGACAATGAGCAATAATTTTCCGAAACTCTTGCATGGATTAGAAGGAGCAATACATTCCAACTCATTTTTTGAGGCCAGTATAACCCTGATATCAAAATGTGACAAAACATATTGCCGGGCGCAGTGACTCAGGCTTGTAATCCCAGCACTTTGGGAGGCTGAGGCGGGTGGATCACGAGGTCAGGAAATCGAGACCATCTTGGCCAACACGGTGAAACCCCGTCTCTACTATAAATACAAAAAAAAAAAATTAGCTGGGCTTGGTGGCGTATGTCTGTAGTCCCAGCTACTGGGGAGACTGAGACAGGGGAATCACTTGAACCTGGGAGGCGGAGCTTGCAGTGAGCTGAGATCCCACCACTGCACTCCACCCTGGGCGACAGAGCGAGACTCCGTCTCAAAAACAAAAACAAAAACAAAAAACAAACCAAAAAACCTGACAAGAAAGATCACATGGAAGGAATATACAATAGCTCCTCTTTATCGGTAAGGGATATGTTTCAAGATGCCGATGGATATCTGAATCCGAGGATAGAACTAAACTCTATTGCCATCAATAGGACACGTTTCTATGCATATCTTCCACCCACAAATTAAATGCCTTTTCTGTCTCAACTAAGTACTTATCACACACCGTGGCTGCAACTTTTGCAGTTTGAGGTGTGGCAACAAAACTAGCACAACTTTCTTTTTTCCTATTTCAAGATTTCCAGGATAGAAGATTCATTCTTACTGTAGATCTTAGCAACCTCAGCCTACAGTTTTCCTTTCCTTAAGTCAAGAACTAACAGCAGGGAGTGCCTGCAGCTCTACGGTGTGGATACTCTGGACAAGGGAACAGGCAGGACAGAGGGTGCAGGACAGCTCAAGATTTCATCACGCTACTCAGAACAGCATGCAACTTAAATCAGGAATTGTTTACTTCCATATTTTTCCATTTAATATTTTCAGACCACAGTTGATTACAGGTAACTGAAACCGTGAAAGCAAAACTACAGGTGAGGGGGGACTACTGTAGAGCAATCTCATTCCTGAACTCATCCTTTATCAAATGTAGGTATTATTTATTTGAGCAATAGCTGATAGAAATCCTGACGAAGATGAAGCAAAAAAGCTAAAATAGAAAATGTTAACGTAATTTAGTTATGTTCATGTTCATTTTATATATAACACACTATATATGTAACATTATATATATATTATATATATATATTTCTCTTCACAAAACATGCTTCTCAGAGAACCAAGAAATATAATACTATTCTTATGTTTGTTTTATTCTGCCTTTACGTCAACAATGGCCAGTGAAAACAACTTGGGAGTAATAATGAAGATGACCAGAGGCCAGCGAGCCGAAAGTGTTCCCAGCAAAGCAGCCCTCTGATCCATATACTTCAGCTACATCTTACATCACCAAGGTAAATATGCTCCCCATGAAAGAAACAGGTCCAGCAAATGTATTTTGTTTTAATTTTTTTCTGATTTGTGTAGGGAAAAAATGCACAAAAAGGCATTCATATCTTTTAGGAATATAGGCAATTTTTGATTTTAATTTTGTCTTTTTTTTCTGATTTGTGTAGAAAAAATGCACAAAAATGCATTCATATCTTTTAGGAATATAGGCAATTTTTAAACATTTACCTATGGAATTAAGTGACATCTATCTTAGAAATAATATAACATTCATCCCAGAAATCTATTAAAATACTGTAAACAAGAGTATGCCCTTGCAAGCATTTGGTAAATATGAAAAACAAAGCTCAATAACAAAGATATATCATAGTGTTGTTTTGAGGGATGCAGCCCAGATTCATGATATTCCAAATATTCCTGTAATACCAGTTCAATGACACTTGGATAAAAGATGGACAACTTTTTTTCAACCTTTAACTGTCCCCAAAAGTGAAGAATATATTCATTCCACAAGAGATTTTGAATATATCCTAAATTAATGTTACCTGTTTAGAATTTTTTAATTTTAGAATTGACAGGCAAGAATGCATCTGAAAATCATTGAATAATGACTGGGGTTGGAATATTTTCCATTTTGACTACTTATTCATATTTTTAGTATATACTTAGTATATGTTAGGCCCTGAACTAGATGTAAAAACAGTATGAAAGGAGACAAAGAGAATTGGGTTTAGAGGTGCAAGTAAATGAGTTTCTGTAACTAGATATTTGTTACTAAAATTGAAAAGCAAAAGTCTTGAAATAGACAATATTTTTGATCAGTTGGAATTTTGAGGAGGCTCCAGTTCCAGCATATTGATATGAGGAAATAATTGAAGCAGGAATTGTAGTTCTATTCATGGATGTAGTGCTTGAATCTAGAATACCACCCGTCATATAACACAGGCTCAGAGAACAAATGCTGAATGAATGTATAAGCTGCTCAGGATTTTACAAATATCTAAATATTTAAGTCTGTTTAGATAATAACAGAAGGTACCAAATACAGCTCTTATTTTGTCTGGCCAACTTCTAGGTGTCTTATTCATATTAATTTACTTATGCTTATCAGTCCTGTGAAATTGGTGCTGTTTTTATTCCCATTTCATAGGTGAGCATACAGAGACTTGAAACAACCTGCCCAAGGTCCCGCAGTTAGTAAGCATTGGAAATGGAATTTGAACCCAAGCCATATGGTTCAGGATTCTATACTATTAGACAATGTGCTACACTGTCTAAGTGGGATCTTAGGAATTTTAAGAACTATCGAAATCAAACCTCACCTGGGGACTCAAAGCATTGTGGACAGAATGTGTTAGGTATTCATTCTTTCAATTCCCCGTCTCTCATTCTGTATTAAACCCCCAATCAAAGAAGAAGTCAACAATTCAACCATGGGGGGATGGGCGTAGAGATTAAGTATTTTTGCTATTTTAAACAAACAATAACATTAATATAATATTCAACTACCCTTAGGAAACTGGTCATACAACCTGTTTGTAATGATACATCAGGATAAGCAAGACTTGTTGAACAAAATAGCATTAATTTTGAAATTATACGCTAAAGCTAGACTGAGAATTCACCTATTATAAACAAATCAAAGTGTGAGAGTTGTCAATATAGATAATAGAATCTTTTAAGGTAAGTTTGCTATAAAATAATGAGTCTTTGGCTATTACATAGATACACACACGTATGTAAACTTATGAAGAATGATCCCATTTAAACAAGACTTAAGCTTCTGCTTCATGTTTCTTATTAAAATGTATTTTCTTAATTAAATGTATTTTCCTATTAAAATGTATTTTGTGTGCAATTTTCAAAAATTAAATTAAATTATTCAGTAGGCCGGGTGCGGTGACTCACGCCTATAATCCCAGCACTTTGGGAGGCCCAGGCAGGCAGATCACAAGGTCAGTAGATCGAGACCATCCTGGCTAATATGGTGAAACCCCGTTTCTACTTAAAAAAATACAAAAAATTAGTCGAGTGTGGTGGCGGCTGCCTGTAGTCCCAGCTAGCGGGAGGCTGAGGCGGGAGAATGGCCTGAACCCGGGAAGCGGAGCTTGCAGTGCACAGAGATGCGCTACTGCACTCCAGCCTGGGTGACAGAGCGAGACTCTGTCTAAAAAAAAAAAAATTATTCAGTAATTCATCTTCTATTTTGAAAACATATTGACAAATAAAATTCAACTTAGCTTTCAAATAACACATATGAATGGCAATCTCGATTAGTAAAAGGTTTGGATTTAAGACTTCTTTCCTTATTACTTGAAATGCAAACACGAGGCATTACAGACAATTGTGTTAGTCGTTGTGTTATAATGTGTTATAACACATTATAATTGTGTTAGTCATTGTAGTAAATGTAGAATCAATATCATTAACAAAGCCACTGTGGTGATATATGAACAGGTTGTGTTTATTGTTCCCTAATCAGCTTCTTAATGAAGCAACCTCTTAGTCTCTGTGGGTTTCTCAATATTCCAGAGAAGTGACAAAGCCACTGGCCACCTCAGGTTTCCAGAATATTCTGCTGTAAGGCAGGCCAAACCAGATCAGAGCAGAACAATAAGCTCTTCTTAGACTTCCTAACATAATGATAATAAATTAATCAGTAACATCAGCGCCTTTAGCATACAGTTATTGCTGTGAGATCGAGAAAGATTTTGTTCTCAAATGCTCACCATGGGAATGAGGAAAAGAAATGACCTCATATTTGGCATGTACTAGAGATTTGGTAAACAGTTGATCAGAATAGTAATTTAGAAGAGATAATCATATGGGAATTAGAGTCAAATGATCAAAGTTCAAATGTCAAATTAACCACTTATTAGTAGTATGATCCTTGCAAAGTCACCTATTTTCTCGTGTGTGTGTGTGTGTGTGTGTGTGTGTGTGTGATGGAGTCTTGCTCTGTGGCCCAGCTGCAGTGCGGTGGTGAGATCTCAGCTTACTGCAAGCTCCGCCTCCTGGGTTCACGCCATTCTGGCACAACCTCCCGCGGAGCTGGGGATACAGGGGCCCGCCACCACGTCCAGCTAATTTTTTTAATTTTTGATAGAGACTGGTTTTCACCGTGTTAGCCAGGATGGTCTAAATCTCCTGACCTCGTGATCCGCTTGCCTCGGCCTCCCAAAGTGCTAGGATTACAGGCGTGAGCCACCGCACCGGGCCAAAGTCACCTATTTTCTCTAAGTAGTTATTTCCTCATTTGCTAATTGGATTTACATGACCAATTGTGAAGACTTTTTTTAGAATTATACAAGATAATGTCTAATAAATGTTTAATACGGACCCTATATGTAGTAGATGAACATTTTTGAGGTAAACCCTGAAAACACTGTGTTACATCTTTGAAAGTGTGTTTATATAGTCATATGAGCTTTTCATCTTCTACTTTTTTCTGTTTTACTCCAGTTTTTTGCAAATGACAAGACATGTACCAAATGCAACATAAACACAAATAACCAAGCAGATGGAGTTTATGAGAAAAGAGAAGGTGAACAGTGATAAACATTTTCTACCATTATTAATGCTATAGTACTTGTGTTAATAATTTACCATTGACCCAACTTATTATCTAGCATTATAAAAATTTGCTGTTAAAAAGTTATAATATGTATCATAATAGGTCTTACGTTATACTTTATTAGGTTTTCATTTGTTTGATTGACATACAGACATATTTGACAATCAAAATCTATAGTTTGGGGGCCAGGTGCAGTGACTCATGCCTGTAATCCCAGCACTTTGGGAGGCCGAGGCGGGCGGATCACCTGAGGTCAGGAGTTCAAGACCAGCCTGACCAACATGGTGAAACCGCATCGCTACTAAAAATACAAAAAGCTAGCTGGGCGTGGTGGTGGGTGCCTGTAATCCCAGCTGCTCAGGAGGCTGAGGCAGGAGAATAGCTTGAACTTGGGAGGTGGAGATTGCAGTGAGCTGAGATAGCGCCATTACACTACAGCCTGGGCAACAAGAGCGAAACCCCATCTCAAAAAAAATAATAATAATAAAATAAAAATAAAGAAAACAAAATCTATAGTTTGTATTTAGGTAAAAGCTACCATTGAGGTATGGATCCTCACAGAAAATGAGTTTGCACCTAGACTCATGCTATAGTTAGCAGGTGACAGCTCCCCCTCCTGGCCAAGAGCTTAGATGAAACCCTGCATATCTGACCATACTCCTAAAATCTTTCAGAGCTTATCTTGTGGATCTGCAGGTGAGAAAATATCTAGGCACACAACACACATATGCATATACATGAGTTTATGCACACACAAAAACATACTTATCCACATTTTCATTCCTGTCCCACATACATAGGCTTGACAAATGCTGAGGATATGAAAGGCAAGATGATATATTTGAAAGGTACCCTCTCCTTGTGAATAGTAGTGCAATCCAGGAAGACATTAAATACTCACAGAAATCTACATTCAAGGCTCCAAGACTATATTTTTACTTTATCAAGGCAGGAGGTTTTCAGGAATAAATAATATCTACATTAAATTTAAATGCAACTGAATTTTTTCATAGACTTTTATTTGTTTTTCTCAGATTCTTCTTAATTTCTTGAGTTACTAAACTAATATTTATTAGATCGTACTCTGAGTCCGGTAGTATGCTAAATGCTAGGGATACAGCAATGAACCAATCAAGTGAAATCCCTGCCTCTGTAACAATAGAATTCTAGGCGGGGGAGATAAATGTTCACATTAATTTGTACTTCGTCTCTGAAGTTTTCAATGTGCAAAACATGCACAATAATTAACAGTGAGTTTTAATCATTCCCCCAGTGAATTTCAGAAACGTGAATTTTGATTCTCTCACTATTACTTAGAATAAGAATAGTTGACCTATTCCTTAGTAAATTTGTGGCTCTATTTCTGGCTTCTCACTGATGTTTTTAAGTAAGTCAAAGATGCTAATAGGTAGAAATATGAAAATCAGATAT